GCGCTCCCACAGGGGGAGCTCTGCTCAGCCACAAGCCAGGCTGACAGCTGCCAGTACAGCGGTGGTGGTGGGAGCCTCTTCCACCTCCTCAGCAGCGCTACGGATGTCCGACTGCAGCTTAGGCCTGCTCCCTGCTCGCAAGTGGGCATCCCCCGAGGGCTCCTGGGCTGCCAGAGGGATGTCTGACTGCCAGCTTAGGGCCAATCCCCTGGGGAAGTGGGCCTAAGCCAGTAGGTGGTCATCCCCTGAGGGGTCCCAGACTGGGAGAGGGCACAGGCTGGGCTGAGGGACCCCCTCCCCCGAGTGCACATATTTTGTGCACTGGGCCTCTAGTATATATAAAAGCAAAGCGACCGGAATGAAGAAACGACCGGAATGACCCGAACAATTGGTCGCTATGACATGCACTGCGGTGGCCAACCAGCCCGATGGAGGCCCCAATCAGCCCCCCAAACCACCCGTGGTCCCTCCCCTAATCACCCTCCACCCCGATCGGGGGCGGGGCCGGGCAGCCAACCACCCGCGGCCCCTCCCCCTTGCCAGCCCAGCCCTGATCAGCCCCCATCGGGGAGGGCCGGCCAGACACCACCCGTGCACGAATTCGTGCACTGGGTCTCTAGTATAGTATAACTTCATGGTGATATTAACAACACCACCCTATCAGCCAGGTACATGTGTGTATAAGCACAGAAGAGAATGCAGGAATATCACAGATACAGTGTTACAGAAAGGAAGGCTGTGGCACCTGAATGGGAACAGAAAAGGGGCACCTGCACATTTTACTCTAAATAGTAGATTAGTAATTAAACTTTAGAAAGTTATCTGAAAATAAGGACTTGTCAAATACCCAGTCCCCAAAATGTACTTCTCATTCATACTCATACCTTTACTCAGAAGTAGCTCAGCATTCTGTTAACATGAAATCTTTTTGTGCTACTGAATATACACAGAAGATTGTTTTAAGCAAGTGATTGATAAATATAAACAGGATGCCCCAAATATTTTCACATATAACCTATAGGATAAGAAAAACTTATAATGTCAAAATTAAGGCAACTGTATACCTTTAGGGACCTTTGATACTTTTAACCTTACAAAAATCCTTTCTTCTTGGGAATTTGAGCTCTTATAAATTTGCATGGAGAACAAGTAGCAAAGAAACTTTCTCAAACTAGTTTTAAAAAACCAAAACAAACAGCCCAAACCCTTTTAAATATTTTTATACAGTAGGACAAATATTGAACACTAGGACAAACAGCTGAAGAATCTTTAAAGAACCACTCTGAATTAAGTCAGGAAAGGCCAGCTCTTTTAAACCAGTTCTAATTGCTTCTGGTTAGTCCCAAGACAGTTAAGCAGCAGAACAGGTTCTGTGCTAAGATTTGGATTCATGGAACGGTTTTACGTTGTACTCAGCCTCACAGGAATAATGTGTATTAAATTATAAAAACACCTTTGGGACTGGTTCTTTTCCATTAAATTCAAGGAAGTTAAGGCTAATAAAAAAAGTAATCCCAATTTATATACATATAAAAATGCTAAATGTGAAACTGCTATTGGTTTCATAATGTACTGACTGGTAGCTCTGTGAAGATTTAAAAGTAAAAAAAACAAAAACAAATGAAAAATCTTTCATTTTCATCCAGAATTTGATACTAGCATATTTCTAGTTTTTAAAAACCTAAATATTAAGCCATTAACAATAAAAAGAGATCATATAGTTACTTACTGTAACTTTGCATATTATTTTGCACTGAATAACACTTTGACCTTTATCAAAAAGTAGAATCACTTCTTAAAAAAACTAAAATAAATAGAACTAAAAGGTAAGTTCTCATATATCACAGATCACCCATTTTAACTGACATTTTTAATTACTGAAGCCTGTAGGCGACATTTGTTTGGAACCATAAAATTCGACTATTGGGAATCAATGAAATGAGAAAGATATAATGAAACAGGGAGAAGTTAGATAATTTATGCCAAAGGCTTACAAAATTATACGGAAGAGATATTAAATCTTCAAAGGACAGAAAACTGTTTCATTTCAGAACATATCCAAGTATTATCCAAGAAATCCAACTTTATATTATTCTCTATCAACCAATAAATAACAAATGGCAATTGACAGAAATGGGGACATTTTAACATTTACCTAAATTCTGTAACATTTAAAACTGATAAGCACATGTTCATCAGAAAATAAATTTCTATTACATTTCTGATATATGTACAGTTTTTAAAGAAATCAAGATATGTATTTTCTTATAAAGGTGGGGGTTAGCTCAGTATAACTTAGAATTGTATTCATTAAAATAAGATAAATACTCCAATTTTCACTTATTTAATGTAGAGATTTTTCTAAGTGACAAAGTGAGACAAAGCTGATAACCCACATAATCAAAGACCCCATAATATAATCAGAAAAGTATATACTATAAAGATATAAACACATGACCATTTAGCAAAAGAAAAAAGAGCAATGAATTAAAAAACACTTGAATTAGGAATTTAACTTACAGGCCATTTGACAGCCTAAAGCACACAACACAGAAACATTTTTTTATATTGGAGAATAGAAAAGAAAATTCACTGAGGTTCAAAGGTAAATTGATAGGGATTCCCAAATAGGCTTAATTTGAAAAACACATTTCATAAAACTACCTTTAGATTATATGATGCTTCCCTAATGCACTGTGATATTTTCCTTGAAGTATTATAAATTAGAAAGTAATGTAAGCACTTGACAAGTTTCAAATGACTATGTGAAACTCACTGAGATATGTTTTACATCTGAAAACATAACAGAACAGCCCCCATTTAATAAAGAAAATACTGAAAAACTAGCTCAGTGAACAAGTACCACGTAATGAGAACGACAGCACTCACCTTTCGAGAACAGGTCTCCACGCCTTCAGCTCACACTGCTCGTTAGTTGTGAATGTCTCCTAACATGAAGCGTCTTCCACAGGAGGAGCATCAAATGTGGATCCTAACTCTGGACTGAGCCAAGGGTACAGCCCCTCCCACGCAGCCAGAATGATGTGCATTTGTTATTTTGGTTTTGTGGTGGTGGTTTTGTTTCTTACTTATACAGAATGTGGATGTGTTACTAAAAAAAATGAAAAGTAAAGCTGATTTCATGGAACTGAAAAACAAAGCTAAAGAAAAATAATTTTAAGTATTTTCAATAAAAGCACAAAATATGAAAGTACCATTTAAGCCAAAACAATACATATTTAGAACTAATTATCACGTATTCTCTTTAAATTTAGAAATGTATGACACAACTAGATCCTGGGGGAAAAATAACATATGACAAACATGTTTTTAAAATAATAATAGCTACCACTTATCAAGACTTTAGTATGTACCAGGAATTATTCTAACATACTACTGGTATTAACTCATTTAATTTCATAACAATCCTATTAAGTTGGTAATGTTATACCATTTTAGCAGATTGGGGAAACTGAGGCACAGGGAGGTTAATCAATTCCCCACAGTAACATACTGGTAGCTAATAAATGGCAGAACCAGAATATGAGTTCAAGCTGGGCTTCAAAACTCTTTACCACTAAATTACGGTGGTATCCAAAGTGCAAACCATTTCCATTAAATCAGAAAGTTGACATCATCTTTATTGCATTAATAAAACCAAGTTGTCTGCTTGAAATGTGCCAGCAGTGATTTATTGAACACTGTAGTTAGCATTAATAACAACTGGCTTTTATTGAGCACGTAATGTGACGGCACTGACTAATGAGCCACTTTACCTCCATCATATAGGTCAATCCTACCACAATCTGGCGAAGTAGGTGCTGTACCTATTTAGCAAATGAGAAAAGCACCGAGGTGTGAAAACAAGTTCCTTTTCCTCCTCCAAATCACTTAGCAAATTCAGGGACAGAGCCCAGATGGCTACAGAAGTATGATGTCAAAGCCCACACTTGCTAAAGCACACAGAGATGCCTACAAATAAGACCCAACCACCAAATAAGGACAATCTTTTGTTTGAATATGCAAAGTCTTGTGTGTCATGTTAGAGATAGAAAAACACAAAAGAAAAGATAAGACAGTAGCTTAAATGTACAGTAATTACATTAAAAAACTACGCCCCTGTATACTCTTCTTGCCAAGTCCTGCATCGGTCGGTGTTAATGGCTGACATTCCAAGACAGCTGAAGTAAACATCCACCTCCCAGCCAATCCATGTATTACAGCTGAGTGTAGGATGTTTACATGAACTGAACTTGGTCTAAAGCAGGACTTACAAAACCCTTTCCTATGTTTACATTGGTCTTTAACCAAGACTCAAATTTATATTAAGGTACACAGAAATTATTATATTTAAAAAAGATAACTTTATAGAATCTGTTGAAAAAAGAACAGTTACTGTGATTCACATAAATGAGGCACGAGTCAAGTTGAAAGCTATTTTGAGACAAAGTTGGGAATCCAAGGAAAAGGCAGAAGTGGCATTCTTTCACTGCAGTAATTTATGGCAATATATGCAGACATTCTGTAAATGTTCCAGAGCTAATTGTGGCAGATTTCACAGCCTTTCATCTTCCTTTATCCCCCTGTTTAGAACCACTGAACTTGCATTTATAGGAACCCATTTGATGGCAAGGGCATCAATCACCCATTCTTCCGCATTAAGAAGATTCTTGTTTGGGGTAAAAGACAAAGTTAATAAAACATCTCTGCAGAGCTCCAAGCTTAGCTGTGGCCTTTCTTTTCCTCACCCCGCTGCCTCTCCCCTTCTCCTCCACCACACTCAGAATTCAGACCATTTCACCTGAGGAACACCCTCACTGCCTCCCTGATTCTCTTCCCACCTACGATGGCCGCAAGTGTCCTAACAGAAAGCCCCCTCCTCTCTCTGCTTCCCTCGGATTTTAAACATTAAAAGTGGTCTCATCAAGACACTTGCATCAAGAAGAAAATCCTCATATCTGGAAATAAAATTAAACATTAGAACCACTGCCAGAAAAACTCTAAAAATATCTGGAATTTCACAGGCATCCTGGACCCAGGGAACCTCCTAGGTCTCTACCTGGCTTCTCACCTGTCTGCTTTTCCTGAAGCATCAGCTCTCAAGATTTAAATACACACACACCCCCTTTATTTTTCCCTCCAGGAGTAAATTGTTTTTCTGTTTCAATTACTCCTATTGCAATAGTGTTTTTTTTTTCCTTCTGCTTTTCTTTGCAAATATATTCAAATAGGTTTTTTGTGCACTAGACCATTAAAGTGATACTTCATTTGGCAGAAAAGTGGGTCTCAGGCTTCCAACAAACCTTTTAAAATCAAACTTCTGGATTACTACATATTTCAAGTTGGGGGTTTTATGCATTCTTTCTTCAGTCACTAATTGGACATAATACCGAACAGGGACAAATGGTAGGATGAGCTCCCTGGTTTTGGAAGCCTGGACCCGGGGCAGCAGCATCTGCAGCACTTGGGAACTCATGGGGAAGAAATGCACAGTCGCAAGCCTGCCCCAGACCTACGGTGGAAGCAGAAACTTTTGCAGGGCCCAGCAATCTGTGCTTTAATGAATAAGCCCTCCAAGTAACTTCGATACACATTAATATTTGAAAATCAGTGGGCTGTTTTCACCAACTATGTTGAAAGCCAAAGCAAAGATAGCAACAAACATTCAGTTATTGGGAGGTTTAGAGTATACTACAGGTTTTTTAAAAAGGCCATGTCAAAACAGGAATCATATGCCCACCTATAATTAACCAGGCTGGGGAAACTGTGGCAGAGATGATCTGAAACAGCACAATTGTAAAAAAAAGTAATTAAGCTCAGATTGATATTCAAACTTAATTTTTTTTCCTGAATATGCACAGCAAATAAAGGCACATTCATTCAGTGAACGAAGTTTTAACCAGAGGAGTGAATGTCAGAGTCAGAATGTGCTACATGCAACAAGAAAGGCATGCTGGGATTTAAGGCTCATTGTCCTGAGGCCAATGAGGACCCATAGAATAATGTAATCTTAACCACGAATATCTGTACACAAGCATATCTAATTGGAAATGAATTTGAAGACACACTTTTGTCGTTGTTTTCTTTAAAAAAGTAATCCCTAAGTTATCTCAAAGCAAATATTAAGGAAAAAAACCTGTCATCTTCAGAATGATGGTCAGTAACTAAAAATAATTTACTTTTAATATTAGGTTTAAAAAAATCTCCATAGATAGTAAAACTTTCTGAGCTTTTTATGACCTGTCACACTTCTCCTCAAACACTAACAAAGGGTGGGGAAACCAGCTGCTGCAGGCTCACTGGCAAATACTGAGATCTAACATTTTAAGGCATTCATTTGAAATAATCAATTGCTAAATTTGCAAGCCAATGCGAAGTCTGTGAATCTTCAAAATCAATGCATACAGAAGCCATCTACAAATGACTGCAAGGCTGCACTCCAGCAGTGGAGCAAGGGCACCCAGAATCAAAGCCAACATGGTCTCCAATCCACCTCATTAGGGCAGAATAACACGGAACAAATGTGACATAATGCACGTTCCAGTAATCCCACAGCATCCAAGGATAACTGCCTATCTGGCAGAGCATAACAGCTTTATGCAGAATACCTACCCCATTTTTAGCTTAGATTTGGGCTACCTTTCAAATTCAGCTATGCAAATTATTAAACGAGGCAGTTTCTTTCCATCTTGTTGAATTTCACAGCTATGTAACTTTTTCATTGGAAATAAACAATGTCACTTGATCTAACAAATTAATCCTATAACCAGAGAATTCTTTCTACCTTTGCCAGGGACCATTTCTTGGGCTTTCAAAAATGGCTCCATCCATTCCTATCTGGAATCTAAGGCTGCCAGTGTGCCAAAACACAGTCACAGAAAATACAGTAAATCTGCTTTATTAAGAGTTCAGTAGGAAGGGATGCTTGATACATGCTAATCAGCAGGCATGAAGATTATACTTACAATTTGCAAAACTACCTGTGTCTGAAGCAACTAACTACCCTCTTTCCATCCGCTCTGACAAAGTATTATAAACTACCACTCTAACAAAGGAGCATTTAAAAGCCAATGCTGTAGCACAGGCATTTAGAGTAGCTGCATTATGACCCAAACTGCCATTTGCTTGCTTGGATAAAGAACACAAGGAAATAGTAGACACTCCTATAATACAATTAAGTTGTTATCAGAGTCCTCTATATGCAAGGTGCTCTACTTATGCCCATGCCCTCAAAAAAGCTTGTAATCTAATCAAGGAAGAGATGCGTGTAAAATTAGATTAGCAAGAACTACCTTTTGGCTTAATTATGCACTGAACCTAAAACAGACTGATGTTTAGTAATTTAATAATAAATTATAAAAATACCAATTCTTTAATGAGGCAAAAAATTAGAACAGAAATGTTTCCCAGTGTCTGAAAGAGAAATAGAAATGAAACATTTTTTAAACTCAGGAAAAAAGCTATTATAAAATTATACATTATCCACTCATCCACACTGAATGTCATCTATGAGAAAAGCCCTGTTAGTCAGCTCTGTGGAGAAACACAAAAAGAGACACAGTAGAGAGAACCAAGATGGTGGCACTGGTAAGCGCCAGCACTCTCTGCCTCCCACAACCACATCAAAATTACAGCTAAAATACAGAACTATCATTCGGAACCACCTGAAATCTGGCTAAATGGATGTCCTACAACTAGAGAAGGAAGAAAGCGCATTGAGACTGGTAGGAGGGGCGAAGGCACGGAACAGGCTGGTCCAACACCCATGTGTGGCATTTATGTAATCAGGAAGGATATTTCCAAGGCCTCCCATGAGAAGCAGGAGGTCCCAGCCACAACCCAGTCCCTCAGCCCAGACTTTCAGAGCTAGGAAGATAAGTTCCCATAACTTCGGGCTGTAAAAACCAGTGGGAATTGTGGCTGAGTGACATGGAGGCTGCTGGAGTCCCAGGTGTCCCTCTTAAAGGGCCCACACATGAACTTATGGTCCCAATTCCTCTGAGTTCCAGCACTGGGCAGTGGCTTTGGGGGAACCCAGGGACATACAGGGAGGAAATGGACTGACTGGCATCAGGGCAGGAACTCAGGGCGGTTTTCTCCAAGACAGGGATG